ACTGTATAGTCTCAAAAGAGAAAACAGAAAGAAAGAACTTCCAAAGAAATAGAGCTTCACAATCTTATACCCTACACCACAAAGTATGGTGACATTTCCTCATTCTTCTGTGGCCTGTTAAGAATATCACCAAGTACTGACACAGTCCTTGGACCAAGAATTGGGAATGTTTTGTCTGACTACTGGGCTCCTTTCAGCTCTGACACTTCTCAGTCAGGAATGCTTTCTATTCCCTTACCAAGCCCTGCTACTAGGAAGGAGGACTGCACCTCTGGGACCTAGGCGTCCTTGACTGCACTTCTCATGTTTCTCTACAGTGCTCAGCACAAACTCTGCCCAGCAGGTGAAATCTCTTTCCTTCCTGTCCCTCAGCACGCCCCTCCACTGCTGCCCAGCAGTGTGTACACACAGTTTATGCACAGTGCACAGTCAGATAGCTCTCTGGTATCCTGCAGGCACAGACATAACATGTTTGAACAGGACTCTGGTCTTCTCTGCCTTGCTCCCAGCCCTACCCTCTGTATGCTTCCTTTTTATCCCTTAGGGTCATAGTGTTTTATTTGACTCCTCCACTGTCCCCTTCCATTTTCTCAGCCTCTAGTCCTGTGTATTCTCAGCTAAAGCTCATTCTTAAATGTGTCCCTCTCTTTCCTCTTCTACTGCTGTCATCTAAGCCAGGTCCTTATCCCTGCTTCTCTCCCAACTGATGCCCCTGGCTCCATTATCCCTACCCTCACCCCTGCTCCCACCTCCTGCCAACCTAGTCTTTCAGACGTGTTTGTCCTTTGGCTCCCCATTCCCTATGGGAAAGTCATACCATGTTTATGTTTAGAAAAGGCTTTTGGAATTATCATGTTTCACAAAGTAGGCAATCAGAGCCTCAGAGAAGGGAGGCCAATTGTCCAAAAACACATAGCTTATTTCTGTCAGAACTGGAAGTATACCCAGGCTTTCTAAACATAAGTCAATGCCTTTCTACCTCCCTATGTTACTTAATAGAAATTTTTTTTAATATACAGTATACTATAAAGTGTCACATTTGACTGTTTAGATAGAGCCAAATCCTAGGTCTCATTGCACTTTCCACCCTGTAATCTCAGCTATCCTGGTAAGTCTGTCTTCTATGGGCCTGATCCCATCATTACTGCCTGCTGCTCATCAGCATCAATCACCCGCTAAAGGCAAGCCAATCTCTTTCCCTCAAAAAATACATAATATCTACCCACCTTCAAATGGTTAGTCAGTCCATAGTCCCTCACCGGGAATATCCTCGTTCATTTTACAGAAATTTGTATAGCTCCAAATCTGAGCCAGAATCTTTGCTAGGGTACCAGGTTGCAAAGATGAAGTCAGTGTTTATGCCCTGAAGGAGCCCATCATCTTGGAGCTTCTCCCATCTTCTCTGATGTTTTGCTATTAATAGTGGCCCAGCCCATAGGGTTGATGGCTCCTTCAATATCTTGTGCCACCCTTGTTTCATATCTTCCCTCAGGTCCTGACTCATGCTCATCTGCCTTCCAACTCCAGGTCCTCTGTCACAGTGATCTGGCCTTATCTCCCCAAGAGCCCATGGTCCCACAGTCCTCCATCCCCCAGTGTGCTGGACATAGTGTCTGCTTCCTATATACTTGATGACTGACTAGGTCCCAGGAAAGCCCAAGCCTCTGCCCTTCGACCTAGCCAGATCCTGGCTCTTCTCAGGGTGAATGTGCTAATGGATGCCCAGCACTAGAAATTGAGCAAATGGTTGTCCTTTTGCAAGCCAGACACATTATGGAAGGAAGGTTCCCCACCCACATCCATCCTTCATATACACCTCTCATCTGCACTCCCTCACCAGCTTTCACACAATTGAAATGAGAGTGAGATGAACACCAGGGAAATCCTAAAGGGGGAGAAATGTTTTCCAGAGCCATATGGACTCTTAGAGGATGGGAGTCATGCAAAGAAACAGGGGTTATGGGCCTATACTAGGTACAGACCAACGGTATGTAGTGAATATGTGCATATGCTTTGGAAATTGGTAGGAAAACACCATCTCTCTCATCAACTTTACTGAGAACTGGACTTACAGGCCCATAAGCACTTAGGGTTACAGTGTGGGAGAGATCAATGTGTGTGTATGTGTGTCTGTGTGTGTAAGAGAGAGAGAGAAAAGGGGAGAGGAAGAAAGAAAGAGAGAGAGAGGATTGTAGAGACAGAAAGACAGAGAACAATGTTTATGAAAGCCAGAGAATAATGGTGCTCCAAATGCTCAGATAAGCGTTTAGTTTTATTAGTGGCTTCTAGATTACCCATTCCTTTTCCTGTCCCCTGGTGGTAGAAGCAGTACTGCGTAATACTTTGTGATGCCCAACATGGGGCTTAAACTCACAACCTTGAGATCAAGAGTCAGACATTTAGCCGACTGAGCCACCCAGTTGTTCCTGTATATACACTCTTGAGGTAGCTGAATCCACCACAAAAAGTCTGTTCTGTATGATCAGGGCCTGCACAAAAAAAAAAGGTTAACAGAATTTAATATCCAAAACTTGTGAATTAGCTGATGTTCATACTTTCCCCAGCTATGCAGGCATCACTCCAGTGACATTTGGATTTGAGTCTTCAGCTAATCCAAGTCAAGCAATCAAAAAATATTGCAGCCACTGTGGAAAATACTATAAAGATTCCTTTAAAAAGTAAAAATAAAAAATATCATATGATTTAGCAATTCCACTACTGGCTATTTACTCAAAGAAAACAAAAGCACTATTTTTTGAAAAAACATATGCATCCCTATGTTTATTGAAGCATTATTGACAATAGCCAAGATATGGAAGCAAATCAAGTGTCCACCAACTGATGAATAGATTAAAAAAAAAAAGACGTGGTATTTATATACAATGGAACATTACTCAGCCATTAAAAAGAATGAAATCTTTTGTCACATTTGTGACAACATGGATGGACTTAGAGGATATGAGGCTAAGTGAAATAAGATAGAAAAAAGACAAATACCATATGATTTCACTCATGTGGAATTTAAGAAACAAAACAAACAAAAGCAAACAAATAAGCAAAAAAGGTAGAAATATGTCCATAAATACAGAGAACAAATCAATGGTTACCTGAAGGCAGGCAGATGAGGGATGCGTGTAATGAGTGAAGGGAGGTGAGATATAGAGGCTTCTAGTTATGAAATGAGTAAATCACAAGGATGAAAAGTACAGCATAAGGAATATAGTCAATAGCACTGTAATAGCACTGTATGGTGACAAATGGTAGCTACACTTACGGCTAGCATAGCATAACGTATAGAGTTGTTGAATGTTGTACACCCGAAACTAATGTAACATTGTATGTTATGTCAGCTATAATTCAATTTTTAAAATTTATAAACATTGGGAGGAGGGGAAGAAGAAGACATGAAGCAGCTCTATCTCCCCTTCCCATATACACAGGCCCATTACACAAAGGTACACTTGCCACATAGGCCTCCCATGCCCTGTTGCCTTAGGGAATACCAAGGACCCAGCCCCTTCTTGATCACCACTGGTCCAGCACAGGCACAGTCCCCTGTGAATGGTGGGACTACATTCCATCTTTATGAATAAATGGTGGTCATCCCGTGATAACTGCCCGGCACAGCCTTTCTTCTCTGCTCTTAGGGACCTGAGCTGAAATCCTTTTCTAAGACTATCTGGGATTGCTTCTGTCAGAGTGACAGCAGGCCAAGGGGTCTTGCCCCTGGATTCTTCCCAGTTTCTCTCACTTACTTGTCCCATACCCAGCCTGCCAGGACTGTGGTTGAGGAGAGAGACCATTGATTCCAAGCCCATGTCTTCAGTGTTATGGCCTGACCTCCCAAGATCATGGGATATTCTAAGGCTTCAGTAGAACTACAGCTAAATTTCAGTTTGAGACTGAAGACACAGCACCCTCAACACTAGTTTGCTGATATCCATTTCTTTCAGCCAAGATCTTAAGATACTGGGTGGTAAATGCCACTGCTTACCTTCAAATTTTGCAGCTATTTCATACTTCCAAGAGTGTATTTTGCCCTAATTTTCAGCAACAACTCCATGGAGTACCCAACAATTGTAGAACACTCATTCTATGCCAAATACCACACTCATACTTTACCTATGTTGCCCATTTTAACATGCACTGTGGTGTTGTTATTCTCCTTAGTAGATGAGGAAATTGAGTCTCAAGGACTTTAAGTGCCCAAGGTCACCCACTGGTAAAGGTCAGAGCCCCACTTTCAATACTTCTTGGGGATGTTATGAACATATATTCCATCCTTGGTCAAATGTGGAGGGCATCCAGGTTTGTGCCCTGTGCCATCCCTCTGTCCTGGAATCTCTAACAAGAGTAGGGAGGAAGAATTGGGATGGGCCCTGGGTGACTCCTCCAGAAGCTCATTCTAATTCAATGCTTGGTTCCCCAACCCGTTCCATCTTATGATAATCACTTCCCTGGGAACCCCAGAGTCTGGATGACTTATACATATGTAGAGAGATGAGAGATAAGTACTGTCTACTATAACCACCCAGTTCCACTTAATGGAACCTAATGGTTTTCTCAATAGAAGGCAGGACAGGGCCTACAGCCTCCATTTATTGCCTACATAATAATAGGCACAAAAACCAAAGCCATTTGCCCTGTATTTCTACTAGTTCAGGGTGATTGTGAATCCGAGCCTAGGTTAAGTCAAAGTCATGCATGTTTAATGGACCCCCCAGAAAGCCATTCACTTCCTCAGTTGTTAGGTTTCCCTTAAAACAATACTGTCTGTGTACACCACCCAGGCCACCCCCTCCCCTCTGTCAACCAGAACTTCCCGGAACCCTGCCCTCACACTCCCACAGCCGGCAGTGTCCTGAATGGCTGCTCGGGACCATCCCAGATGCCAAGGTTCTAAGTCAAAAGTCATGAGTGGATTTGGAAATCAAAGGCAGCCAGCTTCGTATAGTGATGGGGAGGTGGAGCCAAGGCCAGTGTGAAGGCACCACCACCTCCAAGTCTTGCCATGCCATGAGGGAGGCTGCCAGTCCTAAGGAGTGAGTAAAACCTGAAATTTGAGGAAGGGCAGGTGGGTCCTATTGTGACTGGGGACTAATTACAGCATTCCCACCCTAGGCCACCTCATGGCCCTAGGCAGGGATGTGAGATGTATAAAAGGTGGGCAGGCTCTGAGCATCCCAAACCCCTGGGCATCTCCACGCTCCAGTCACTGGCAAACTTGGGTAAGTCTGGCAAAGTGGTGCCTCTCCTTGCAGCCTTGCTTCACATGGTCCCAAAGTGGCTAGGAGTGGGGGTAGAGCTCTGGGTGGCTGGTCAGAAAGACCTAGTTTGGGCATTTCTCTTTTCCATGTTATTGGGCACCAACAAATAGTGGTCTATAAGTCATCTAGCTGAGGGGGTGGGGACTTGGGCTAAAATGGGAAAGGAAAGTCTGCCGAGAGGCTAGTGTCTTGAGGATCTTGCTGGTGTGTTATGGGTGTTGTATCTTGCCAGATGCTGAGAGGGAGTCAGTAGAAGGAAAGGCCACACCAGCCATGGGGCGGAGCACCCAGAAGAGTTGCATTTTAAGGAAAAGACAAATATAGGGAGAAAGAAGACTGTGTCGGTGAATAGGGGAGCAGAGGCCCCAAGGAGCACAGAGCAGCAGGGACAAGATGATGTGGTACAGGGGCAAGGCTCTGCTCCACTGCTGGGGACCATCGTTTCTACCTACTTGTGCTGAGGGGCTAGGGATTAATTACTTCCCTCTCTGGGTTTGGTTTTTCTCAACTGTAATTAAGAATCAAGCTAAAAGATCCATTTTGTCTGTAGATTCCTTTTTTCTATAACTCTCTTAGAGAAAAGAGATGCTCCTTCCCATTCTTTTAAATTTTTAGAAATTTATTTAATAAATCTAAACTCTTACACTGTGCTCATCATGTGCCAGCTACTCTGTGTGGTTGTGTGTGTGCATGTACACACATATACACACTTGTATGTATGTATGTATGCATCTTTATGTGTATGTATTTTATATACTCATTTGATCCTTACAATGACCCTAAAAGAGGTGTGCACAAGGGGCTAAGTAACTTGCTCAAAGTCACACAGCACATTAATGGCTTAGCCAGGACTCAGATCCTAGGCAGTTCTCTTCCAGATTCCATAGTTTTGCCATAAAAGTATATTACTTTTTGTTCTTGCTCTCCTTGTCTTTCCTTCTTCCTCTCTCCCTTTCTCCCTTCTTCTCCTCTTCCTTCCTTACCTCTTTCCTTTCATGTTTCTCTGTCACGAAAAGAATTGAAACAACTTACAAACTTTTAGCCACAACTTATACTCACACCCACATTTACACACATACTCACACCCACATTACATGCATGCATAAGTGTACACAGATATACACACCTTAAGTTATGAAGCCATCAGGGCAAAGCAGAAGCAGAGCAGGATGTGAATGTAGCAGGCCCCATTCCCCGGCTGGGAGTGCTTTATGGTGAAGGTGTTCCTCACTTCTTTGTCTTTCTTTTTCTAGTTGTGTGTCAACTCAGAATGTCTCAGCAGAAGCAGAAGCAGTGTGCTCCCCCGCAGCAGTGTGCTCCACCCCAGCAATGCTGCCCCCCACCTCAGCAAACTAAACAGGCTTGTCAGCCTCCACCCAAGTGCAAGGAACCCTGTGCCCCCAAGTGCCAACAGAAATGTCCACCCCCTCAACAGTGCCAAAAGTCCAAGCAGAAATAAGATCCCAGCATGTGACCAGAGGCCGAGCCTCCTCGGAAAACAGAGAGCATGAAGTTCACTGCCCCTCTCTCAAACAGCCATCTGTCAGCCCCACTCACCCCCAGCTTCTGACTGCAGCCACACTTAGGAAAAGGCAGCACCAGGATGGCAGCTTCCTCGATCTCTACCTCTTATTAATTAGCAACTGCAATTTCCACCTCAGACAATGATCTGGTGCTGAACTGTCTAATCATCTCCACTGACATGTATTTACATTGCTATGCCTGCTTTTTGGAAGCTTGAGCAGCATGCTGGACACCTTTCTTAGCACCCTCCATTTCTGCTCCTGTTTTCCAAACAATTAAATGTAGTTCCTCTGGCAATCACGTGTCAGTCTGATTCTTCTGTTGTTGGACAATGTTACATTCCCGCAGATTTTGTGTCCCGCCCCCACCGGAGAGCCCTAGGGGAGCTGGGCATGTGGGTGCAGGCAAAGGAGCAAGCATGACACACATGCATTTGTGAGCTGTGGGGCATTCCCAGTGCTCCTGCTGGGGTAAGGAGGAAAGGAAGGCACTTTGAAGCATGGACACACATCCCATATTCACAGAAAATGAAAGTACCAATGGAACCAGGGGAAGATGATGCCCATTTGGAGAACCATTGGGAGAAAAAGCATCCTTGCAGGCTGAGAAAGAGCAAGGGAACTCCCCAGTCAAGAGCTACATAGCAGAGGAGAAGGATTGAGGCAAATAAATTATATTTCAGAGAACAGACTCCAAGGGCTTCTGGGTCCAAAGGAATTGAAAATAGGGCCTTAAAACATCTCCCATAAGTAAAAGAGAAGACCAAAGTTTCTTCAAGCTAATCAAATGTCATTAGGAGACAATCTATACAAACTGAATACTCAACACACAATATCCACCATCAATATGTGATCAAATCACAGCCCCCATTATTTCTCAGTTGGATATTTCCCTGAACTATTTTCCCCCATTGCCCCCCTACTTTCAGTTCTTCGAGTTTCTGGAGAATTGCAATAATCAGATAATTGAGACTCACAGATATTCCAAACTGCTGATTCCTAATGCTTCCATTACCCACTCCATTCCTCTCCACCAAACCCCTCTCCTAAAAAATAGTCCACAAATTGGGGTGTTGGAATCTCCTTTCCTACCACCTGCCACCCTTTCATGCCTCCAGGCTCTAGGGAAGTCACTGAGAGTCAGCAGAAGTATCCAAAAGGAGGCAGAGAGGAAAATATCATGAGTTAAATGCCTGGATTATCCCCAACACATATTTCAAATCCTGGAGAACACAGAGCTAACTAAAGACCAAAGCTTTGAGCATCGCTTCCCTGCCTGGCTGGGCTCCTCTTTCTCCATCAGACTCCTCCTGTGTCTTTCAGCTGTCTCTACTCCTTTGTTCTAGTCCTCATCCATATAATCCCCTACCACCCTATCAATCCATCCGTGCAGCCTCAGAAAGCACCTTCTTTCTTGTTTGTGCAGAAGGTGAGGGATGCTATAAAAGCAGAGGAACCAGCTCAGGGTGTCTGGGTCCAACAATCCCTGGAAGAAGACCCCCATGAAACAAAAAAACATTTAGATAGGGTGATATCCAAATAAAGGATGACTTGGGCGATACATTCGGCAGACGCCTCACACCTTGAGAGTCAGAGACAGAGAATGAGAATACTTTGAAAATGAAAACTTGTTACAGCCCCACATTTGGAGCTGCCATTCAGCACAGTCCACAGACGTGTCCTCACCCCCATACATCACCTTCCCCCACAGCTCTCTCATTTGGGCTTTTACCCCTCTTTCCTTACCCTCCCTCACTCCCCAGTGTAACATGAGATTGAATTTTGCCTCTCTGGGCTTCATTTAATTTTCTCTTTACTAATTACCATAATTAGAACAAATGTACATGTGCTTGTGTGTGGACCATCTTGGCGATTTTTTTTTTGTCCCCGTCATACTGGGTCTGGATCCCAGAACCACTCCATTTCCACTGTGTGATTTGCAGTGAGTTACAGAACTTTCCTAGGCCCACTATTCTTATCTCTGTGGTGGGGGTGAAGATTAACTGCTTTTTGGGGTGGGGTGGAAGGGGGAGGTGTTTGTTGAGAATGTAAACAAACAGTGAGCAAGTATTTGCTAAATAAATATTAGCTGTTGCTAATATTTATTATTCTCCAGTTCCGACTGCTCAGCAAACCTACAGGAAGCACTTTTTGCTTATTTCCACACAGTGAAGGATGTGAGCTCCAGACCTTTAGGTGTAAAGGGGAAGGGTGAATTTCAGGATCAAGGACAGGACCAATAAAGTAGAGCAAAGGATGAGTGGGTATTCACAGGGGGAAACAAGATTTAGTTTAGGGCATAAGTATCCCATTTGGTGGTTGCCCTTTACTTCCAGAATCTTCCCTGTTTTAACACCTGCCCACAATGGATCCTGCCCTTGAGGTAATCCTGGCTGCTCTAGCCCACGGTGATTCTCAGCTATCATTTAGACAGTCAGCCCTGTCTCTGTGAGCAGGTCAGGCTCTCTGAAGCTGAGGAAGCATGTACAGGGGTAAAGTCTTGACTGACACACATCTGCCAACCTCACACATGTTGACACCACCGTACTGAAGTAGATATGGCTATTCCTATCGGGATAGAGGACTGAGGTTCAGAGGAGCTCCCTCCATGCGTGGAGTAAAAACACCTTGTAGACGATGGACCTGAGATGAAACTCAGGACTCTGTCTACTTTGTGACACAGCAAGTGCTCTGACCGTGCTTGTAGCTAGAAGAAGCGTAAAGACTGGATCCTGTCTTTCCAAAACTTAAACCCATCAAACCATCAGGGAGGGGAAGTCAGCATGTTTACAAACCTCCTCAAGGTCACACTTGTTTGCCTCATGTATGTTCACACACTAACATAAATTACATACAGTGAATTCTTTTTTTTTTTTATTTATGACAGTCACAGAGAGAGAGAGAGAGAGAGAGAGAGAGAGGGGCAGAGACACAGGCAGAGGGAGAAGCAGGCTCCATGCACCGGGAGCCTGACGTGGGATTCGATCCCGGGTCTCCAGGATCGCGCCCTGGGCCAAAGACCGGCGCTAAACCACTGCGCCACCCAGGGATCCCCATATAGTGAATTCTTATTCAAAGTACATTCTACAACTTTGTAGCCTGATGTTGAGCATTGAAAGCAGAAGCTGAAGCAGCATTCTGGAAGGCCTGATGTGACAGGTTATGGGCTGCCTAGTTTCGCAATGGTGCAGAGGACTCTGTGGGTCACTCAGATGGTGGCAGGAGCACTGGTGGGCAGAGGAGTTGGTATGGTGGCTGTTTGTTACCTGCTACAGAAGTGGTTTTAATACTTCATGGGATGCCTGGGTGGGTCAGCAGTTGAGCATCTGCCTTTGGGTCAGGGTGTGATCCTGGATTCCCGGGATCCAGTCCCACATCAGGCTCCCTGCATGGAACCTGCTTCTCCCTCTGCCTGTGTCTTGGCCTCTCTCTGTATCTTTCATGAATAAATAAATAAAATCTTTTTAAAAATTAAAAAAAAAACTTCAACCATGGAGTCAGCAGCACCTGTGTTTGCTGGAGTATATCTGCTGAATATCAACCCTGTACATACTTACTGTTGCACACTCACTCATGCTTGCACACCCATACACATATTCCCACACACATATATTCATGAGCCACACATGAGGTCACAAATCATCACATACTAACACTTAATCACATGTTATCAATCACACAGAGGTGGCCACACACTGACACACACTCACAGGCACCCAAATGCACAGACACACACACTCATGGTGTCACTCTCACTCATGTGAAGGCACCAGAGCTTGGAGTCCAGCCTTTGTTCCCATGTCCCTCCAGCTTATCCTCTTAGCTTTCTCCAGGCCTCTGCCACATTCCAGCTGGGATATCTGACCATGCCTGGAGACCCTGGGGACAGGGGGGCTGATGCTGGGGCTTGAACAGAGGTGTGTCTTCTTCAGAGAAGAATAGAGCTATATATTTCAAATAAAGAAATCCCCTGAAAGGTGATGTGGCACAAGAAAAAGAACACCCACCCACCTCGAAGCCTGAGAGACCTGGGTTCAAATTCCTTCTTCTGTTTGTCACTGAGTAACTTTGGACAACTTAACTTTTCTAAACTGTAAAATGAGGACTGCTCAAACTTCCAGGCCCAAATTAGAAATTCAAGCAGACAGTCAACAGTGGTCTGCCCTTCCCCTCCTCCACAGGTTTTCTGGGAAGATGAAGACATCTCTCAGCTGCCAGTTCCTGGCCCAGGGGATTCCTGGCCCAGGGGTTTCCTGGCTGGTGATGGATTTCAGCAGTGAGACTCCAGCTCAAGCCACCAAGGATCCTTTAGTGGGAACCTGCCCATGGGTGGGTCCAGTGTGGCCTGCCCTCCCTTCTCCTGCATGTTTGTACATGTGTGCTTGCTGTCTGGCATTCCTGAGGGGGAATCACAGACTCCTGGCACTGGCCTGTATCTGAATTTGCTGAATCTCCTCCTGGGTCACTGTGGTGCCATCTGGGCCTGTATGCGTGTGTTTGTGTGTGTCTGTATGTGTGTGAAGGGCTACTGTCATCTGGAGGTCCTGCCCAGGGTCAGAGAATAGTCATTGTTGACACCCGACTCCTGATTCCTGGCACTTAGTCCCCTCTTCTGGAATATTTATGCCAGCTATCAGACTGACTGATCCCATCCTGCTCTTTGATAAAACAAAAAAGGCAACCATTCTTCCTGTTCTCAGTCCTCCAGGCAGCCCTTTGGCTTGAGCGTCCTCTCTCCCCAAGGGCTGATGGGACTATGAGGTTCACCATCAATAGGTTTTAGATGGCACTACAGCTTCCAATAAAGAGCGCTGGACAGAGTCATGAGACCTGAGTTCTGCCTGTGTGATCCTGGGCAAGTTATTTCCTTTCCCTAGTCTTAGTTTCCTAACCTGCACAAGGCCACCTTGGGCTTGCTAGATTCTTTCTCTTCCCATCCTGACTCACCAGAACATGACTCGGTCACTCCAATCCTTATTTAATCTCCTCATTCCCTAAGTAATCACAGTTACGGAAAGCTCTTAGAGGTAGGGACGGGGTGGGGCCACCTAGGTACCACAACATTTTGTATGGCTTTGTCGTGGAGGCTCAGAGCAAGCTTAGCTAAAATCCCATCTATATTTTAAGATCTCTCAGCCTTAGGACCAACCTGCCTCCCTTCAGGGAATCAATAACACACACAATCTGCTGCCAGTTTTAGATTTATATATCTATATACACATTTACATATATATACACATATATATATTTAAAAGGACTGAGTTACTTCTACAAGCAAGTCACTATACTAGAATTTTA